GACGTATCAGATACGAAACATTTACAGGTGGTTCACGGCAGTGCCGCTTCTGTTGTTGATAGCCTGTCTACGGAAGACGGGAACAAAGTGGGGCTAAACGCAGACATCAATCTCAATTCTTCGGCTTTGAAGAATTCAGAAAGTTGTCCACTCGAAGTAAATAGACTCCCTTGCACCATAGATCTATGGCACAAACGGCCGATATAAAAAAAGTTGTAAAATAATGAGATTCACATTCGACTGCAATCAGTGAAGGGTCCGGATACTTCTCACAAAGTAGAAGAAGGCAATAAGTTGGGCTGAATATCTGCATTCAAAAAGAGGAAAAAGGAACTGGAATCTCCTAGATACTGAAGGTCATCCCACGAATACAAGGAAGTGCGTATGCCAAAGTAACTACTTGAACTTTGTTTACCAGCACAGCATTCTCCATTTAGTGTCACCAACGTTCCCGTGGTGACTAAACGGACGAATTGCCAGGATACCATTTTATGTGAACTCTAACACAGATTTTCATCTGGATAGAACACGGCGTTAAGTTTAAATGATTATATACATTTTAGGAGGAGAGGACGATAAACTCAACGTTGCAGTCACCTCAGCCCCGCCTTTACGTATCCTCAGAAGTCGTTTCGTTTACATACATTTTGCTAAGCATTTTATCAGAAGGGCAGCAGCCATGTGAAATAAGGAGAGCGGTTGGACTAAAAGCGAAGTTCGGTCTGCGCCAGTTGATCCTTCCGAGGCAATGTTCGCCTTCATATCCTGTCTCTGACCTACGATGTTGATTACACTAACGTTTTCGCTGCATTATACAAGGAAACTGGACTTTGGCTTGCTCAAAGTCTAGCTCACGCCCATAGGAGCGCGGCGAATACCAAAGTCGTCGCCAAGCCCACTAGTGTTATCCCAACGAAAATTTTGCCATAAAGAAGAGATTTATGTATTGTATTGTAAAAAAAATCTAGTTACGCTTTGTTAAGTTATTAGACGTTTTGGAGCTTGTGGTCTTTTGTATAATTTGATATGACCTTTTTTGTTCCTGCTGTGTTGCTCACGCTTGCAAATACGATGTACATGTTCTCGTGTGTTTTTAGCTTTGATTAAATTCGAATTGTCGGTCATCATGATTTATCTTATGACAGTCGTGTGCTGCATCAACTAATGCCTAACTGATTAGCCCGCCTTGTTAGTGGTTAACCGCCCATGATTCGGAGTTATCATGGAGGGTTCAGTTTTCAGCCCGAACAAGCATGATTGCTGTCTTGAAACGTGTACAAGTGGTAAGATCTCCGACACAGAGAATCCTCCTCCTACTTCTTCACCTCCATTAGACGGGAAGCGGGTTAGGTTTTCTCGAACGCAAATCTTTTACTTCTTGCGGCAGCAGGGTTACTCCTCAGTTCCTCAACGTGGTGGATGTTCTCTAGGCATGGCGCAAACGCATTTCCACTCAGAGACCTATGGGGTTCATCAGTATCGTCGGATGAGTTGTTCAGGAAATGAAATGAACCTCGACACCTTCTCTGGGTCGACCCAGCTCTATCCAAGGGGTCGTCGACGAAAATTAAACTGCAACAGAATGCCGTTGACCCCAGTGGAGGATAGCGTTAACCCTGGCGATGCTAGGAGGGTTCCACTTTTCTTTTCACCTCCTAAGCTTTCCCCGCAAACCGATGACACAGGCGATTTGGATGGCTTTTCTTGTGTTGGTGGTACTCCTCCTCCCCCCTGCCTTTCACCCCAGAACGAACCTATTGGCTGCGAATTTAGCACTGATCCAGAGTTAAGCAGTTTTTGGCAGACAGATTTGGAGGCCTCCATTGACTTATCATTGACCAAAGTAGGTGAGAAGAAACTGCTGCCAATCCAACCTACGGTTCGATCTCGTATGCTCAAGCAGGCTGGTAATCTCTCTTTTCTTGTCCTTAACTCTCTTTCAAATAAATAAATGTTGAGCTTTAATTCTTCTCTATTAAGGAGTCGTAAACATTGATGAGTCGGATCGATGGACTTGTGCAACTCTGCGAAACTCCCGTGCTAGCGTCGGATGTGGATGTATCACCTCGTCGTGTAACTCGGAAGCCTGTTCCTGTGCTCTTGCTGGCGTTCCTTGCCAGGTGAGTTGGTGAATTTGACCGTCCGCTAGTCGCTGTGATTGCTCGGCTCATAAGCTGGATCTAACAGTTTCTTTCTTATCATTTTCTCTTTTCTGTTAAGCTACAGTTCTGCTAGTTGACATTGCTCCCTTTTAGGTGTTTTCTATAAGCCTTGCCACCAACGTGACTGTCTTCTGGAATCGAGCTGCGTTTATTTTAGCTTATTCCCAACTATTTGCCTCATGAGTCTGGTTTTTTGATTGGGCAACAGTACTTCAATACCGTTGTGACGACCATGTAAAGGCAGTCAGAATATCTTTTCCTCCATTTAAGGTCCATGGCCAAATTGCCTCGATTGTAAACTACTTTCTACTAATTGTGGAACAAAATGGGACTAGTTCGAGTGCTTTA